TCAAGTTCATCATTTAGAATTTTTAGAACTTAAGAGTTGTTTCTTGAAAAAGAAAAACAAATCCTCAAGTCCAATATCAGAGTCTTCAGTCTTCACTACGTGCATTGAATCTTCACCACTTCGTCCTTTTATATTTGAAACCTATTGATCTTCCGGAAATAATTGCAAATATTTCTGGAAAGCAGTTCGTTGTCCAGATTGTAACAAGTGACACAACTGTGGTTGAGTTTATTGACTCCCTAGATTTTGATATTTTTATTGATATTTGGGTAGTAATTTAAGATAAGGTTGAGCACTTGCACACTTCAACAACTGTTGACTTGTTGAAGTTTTGTTGATATCTGTTCGCACTTTTCTTGCTGGAGTACGTAACTCAAATGTTTTGTTCAATTGATTATCAGTAAAAATTATCTTTTACAGCTTCAGTTCATCAATCCAGTTTTTTGTTGGCAAAAAATAGCCTTCGAAAGCGTAGACTTTGGTTTGATGGGTATTTAAATTAATATAGACGGTTCACTTTCTGAAAACTAAAATCTATTTTGATTTTTTGTAGATGCATAGGCCAATATAACATATTTAAGATGAGGTTGCATAAGTTGTCACATTTAATTTACAGCTAACCTTAGTGTCCAACCTCATTTTCAATATAATATATTGGCTTATGCATCTACAAAAAACCGAAACAGAATTTAGTTTTGAGAAAGTGAAGCGTCTCTTAAAATTATACTAAATACCGAACAATCCGAAGTCAAAGGCTAAAATTTGACCAAAAAGTAGCATTTAGCACAATTAGTATAAAGTAAAGTGGAACATAGAGGAGAATAGAATAGGGAGGAACGGAAAAGTATAATTTCGAAGATAAAAAATGTCAGGAAACCAGGTTACCCAGGTTTGGGCTAAGTAAATTATGTAATTTTGGGTACGCTTCAAACTTCAAAAGAATAACTTTCAAATAATTGCATGGTTCTTCAAAACGAGTCGAAAATCAAGAGTAAAGTTAAAGCGAGTCAGAAAAAAAGACAGAAGCAGATAGACGGTTGTAAAAAAAGTTCAAGGAAAAAACTACTTTCTTTCCCAAATTTTCAAAATTTGAGTTTGACAGGAAACATTAGATCTTTTGGAAATTAAGAATAATTTATCTTTTTTTTAAATAGCCAAGAGACAAATGAACGCAATTATACAGAAAAAAGACTGACTTGTTTTTTTTTGGTTCCATGACATTCTACCCTATTCCAATCTACCCTCTGCTAATCTACCATATACTACTCTATCCTACATACCAATCTACCCTATACCAATCTACCCTATACCATTCTACCCTATAAATAAAGCAATTGAAACTTACCCCATCCTCTTGAAGTATCCGAAACAGTACATTTCCGAACAAATCAAAGAACCATTAATTGTGATCAAAGAATAACTGACGCATGTGAACAAAATATCAAAGCAACTTAAAACTTGCTTGTTCAAAATGGAAATGAGTTCAAAGCATGAACGAACAGAAATTTTAACCCAATTTTGCTATAGAAATGCGTTGCAGCTAGTTCTTAAACAAACAAAAGTCATATCACATCAAGTCGACATAGCTTTGCGGATAATCCATGTGTTTTAAAATCAAAAGTCCGAAAGATCAAATCACCAAGAAGTCAAAATTTGAACGAAATTCGAAAACTACTGAGGGTTTGACTAGTTGATCACAAAACGAGCGGTAGACCCCCCAGTACCAGGCTAAGGCGGTACTGGGGGGCGGGGTGAGGCAGAAGGTAAAATTCTTTTGATATTGGCCTCTATTACCTCCCAAAATATCAGCCCTCTACGGCCACGGGAACCTCAAAAAAAGTGTATTTTTTTTAAAAATGAAATTGAATTTTTGAAAAATTCATAAAATTTGTTGAAATAAACAGAGTCAGGAATGACTTAATTGCGCGATAGAATGCAAATATGTTAAAATAGAATCTTTGTTAAAATTTTTGCAAATGTTTTTCACTTTCTCATTCAATTCCCTGTACTTCTTGCGACTGGGGTTGCTGTTTCCCCCATTGCTTTCAATATATTGAATTTTTGATTGGCAGCATCCAATTTGATTTGTTCCAGAAAAGTGTGAACGGATGGGTGGTTTCCTTTAAACAGAGTAGCAACGCCAGGATGCCAGCCTTCTTCAGCATTTGTTGTCCTTATTAACCCAGCAGCTGCTTCTTCGGAATAATTCCAAAGGTTTACTGGAGAGAGGGTCGCGAGAACTCCTTCCGATGGTTTCGCCTTTTATGTAGGAGCGCTGGAAGTATGAGGCTACCTCATCAAGTTTCTCAGTTATGCTGTCGTCGAGATCAAATTTGTCAGACACTTTTTCGATTTCCTCAATAACCAAGTCAAAAGCAGCATTGACAATTTCAACTGGTACAAAACTTAGAGCTGGAAAGAAGCGCAACGAAAAATTGAAATTGTGATTAGTTTCGTACAGTAGTTTTAGGCCCACGTCGTTTAATTTCCGGTTGAACGCTTGACATAAATGAAAATAGCAGCCTTTCAGCAACACTCCGGTATGATTACTAGCGAAAGCGTTTAGTGCTGCACGTTCAAAATCGAGGAGAATGCGGTGAAGCTCGGTGTTTTCGGTGATGGCTGATAATCCCTTCAGTAGTTTTTTGTAAGTGTGCTCTGTTTTGTTTGGCAACAATGCATAAATGGAGGGGGGGGGATAAAATCCAGCGAGTTGAATATGGATGGTGTAAATTTGATAAAACTGAATAGGACAAGCTTTGAACGTTCTATCGCACAGCCACACATCTCGATGCAATATCAAGCTCTGGATATTGTCGCGATCTCCAAAAATCGACACCCTTTCTGGATCTTCAATGCCGCTATCGAAGACGCAAAAATCCTCGTGTTGCTTTGGTACTTCAAAATGTCTGTCGACAATGGGAGGCAATGTGGGTCTCTCATTTATCTTCTGTCGATTGAGGGCCCGATTAATCGCCGACCGGCAAGGAAGAGCTAATCGGACGGCTTTTTCTTCGGACAAAGACTGCAGGCCGTTTGCCATAATTATGCTTTTGATTGGTACTTGCTGAATTTTTGTGTCCTGTTTCATTTTCTGCACGAGAAGCCTTGCATCTGAACGACCGTTATCTCGGGTTATTCTTGGGAATAACCCGAGATAAAAAGCCGGATCATTACAAGCGTTCTCCGATTCTGTTGAGATAAACCCCAAGAAATTTGACTCATTTTGGTAAATGTTATTCCAAGGAAAATGGATATAATGATGTAATTTTGGTTTCATTTTTGTACGTGATTTTGAAAATTGGGGATTAAAACCTGTTAATTGAGACAAATTTCGGATTTTGAGGTTTAAATTGCGATTTAGTCCTTAGAACAATATCCTTAAGTGTAAGACTCAAATTGAGTCCAAAAATTTAGACTCAAATGAATTAACACGTGCTGTTATCTTTCCGATTCTAATTAGGACTTTGAAAGATTACATTAGTAATGCTCCAAATGGACACAGGTTTAACTGGTATATAGGGCAGATTAGTAGGGGATTAGTATAGGGTAGATTAGTATTGGGTAGATTGGTATGTAGGGTATAATGGCATAGGGTAGAATGGTATAGGGTAGTTTGGAATAGGGTAGAATGTCCTGCCACCGTTTTTTTGACAAAATCTTCTAGAACTTAGCCAACTGAAAGTTGGAAGAGTAGACATGAACGCAACGAAACCGATAAAAACCTACTTGTTTTTTCAAATTTTGAATTTCGAAGGAAAAAATAGATGGCCTGAAAGCTCTTTGAATTTGTAGAACAAATTATGAAATGAGAAAACACTTTGAGAAAACTGGATCAATAGGTAAAACTTTTATTTCCATTTTATCACGTTTTTCGTGGCCTTTATATTTTTGCTGTTCGATAGCGGACTTGCCTTCCTCTTAACAAAATAAATGCACTGAACTTGAAAACAAATCAAAAGTCAAACTCCGAAAAATCAAAATTGAGCGTGAACAAATTTTAAGACTTTTTCCTGAAAAAAGAAACAAAAAAATCAGCAAGACCTATATAAGAGTACTCACTACGTTCAATACTCTTAAACAATTTATGATTGGCATTTTTTGATAAAATTAACCCAATTTGAGACAGAGGCGAAATTATGACCAATAACGGTACTGGGAAAAACTGAATGAGTACAAAAAATTTGAGTCTGCATAATTTCTTAAGTGACGCACGCCACTTATGAGTCTACATAATTGCCAAGTGACGCAAGCCAACTATGACGCATTGACAAAGCCAGTCAATTTGAAAAAAGAAATTTACCAACTAACATGCCTCAAATTATAGAGCTGACGCATTATAACTAGTATACGAAAAAATTCATTAAAAAAATATCCGGTTGTACTTCTTAGCTGGTTATTGATCTTATGTACATACTGTAAGAAAGAACACTTTCAAAATGAACACTGGATCAAGTACATTTTCGCTGGGAAATCTGTAAATTAAGGGGCTGTATAGTGTTAAATTAGGCGACAATTTGGATAATATAAGTGTATACTTCAGAAAAACTCCCCCTAATTTTCCAGACAACATTGACAAGAAGCGGTTAAAGCCTACAAAACCGTTTGTCGGTTCAAGGTCACCGGCTTTGCGGCGATAACCGGCTCTAGTTTTCGTAAAGAGTCCTACCCTCCCTCTGTTGGCAAGCTCGCAACATGTTGGCACAAATGCAGCGGTCACTTTTTACCGTTGATTGGCTGTTTGAATAATATTACGTGTATTTTGTATGTAGAAATGGAAGGACGTAAGTAATCACATACAGTTGTTGCTAAAATGTACACTTTTTTAATCAAAATTGTTGCCTAATTTTGACAGTTTTATTTTCGCCTAATATAGTTTTCGCCTAAAATAGCCCAAATAAGAAATCAGCTTCGCCAGCAAAAAGTGAAAGCAAACTTCATCCATCTGAACTTTATGGAAGTGAACTGAATGAAATGAGTTTCGGAGGGAGCGTGTCTACCTGGTAGGTCCACTTCCTGTCTGCGAACTGGTTGCTGTGAGCCAATCCGTTGAGGTTCAAGAAGCGGTCGACGAAGCAATGAATCACCACTTGGGCCAACTCCCCACACAAGTCCGCGATCTAAGTCAATCAACCAAACTACAAGTTGACTCGCTTCTCAGGAAACAAACAATCGCTGCAATTTATGCTTCAGGTAAGAAGAATACCGAGTGGTAGCTGGTTTCTACGAGGAAAAAGCACAACTGTGAGTGCCTTTCAGATTTTTTAACGCAAAACAGTAGGTTACACATTTAAGATTAGAGATGGGTGAGAAGGAGTGAAGGAAAGAGGAAGAGGAAGTGAAGAGAGACTAGAAGAGAATGTACCTGCCACGCAACCCTCTTCAGAATGGAGCAGAGGTGAGTGTTGGCAGAGTCGATGAGTTTGGTGAACAAGTGAGCCACCAGCTTAGCATGTGGCACCAGGTGAGCCCCCCACTTCACTCTGTTCTCACGCAGGAACCTCAGCTCCGTCTCCTTCAGAGGGGTGGCAGTCATTATGGGCAGCGGCAGTGGCAGCAGTTGGGAGAGAGTGGCCAGCCCGGGGATGACGAAAGAGGGTAGGGAGAGGATGTGCTGCAGCACTCTCTCCAGCATCAGAGTCCAACCAGCATCCGAACTTGCTTCTTTCTCATCCTCTAAAGTCAATACAGTTGTCAACGCACCAGTTGTCGCACCAATTTCAACTCCCTTCCTGCTTGCTCCACTCGCATCTCCCAAATAAAAACAAATCAATAACTCATAAATGATTCAAGTGTGATAGTGAAGCTTGTATTCAAATTAACAAATGAAATGCACTGAATTTATCAATAGCAGATCGAGTGAAATGATCCAGCCAGCAAATTCAGTATAAATGTTTAAAAAAAATTGAGAACATTCGAGCAAAATATCATTTCAACGTCCATTAAAAGATTATCTTCATTTGAAATCTGAAAGAACACAGGAACACCAGAAGCAAAAAAAAACAGAACTATAGAAAATGGACACTTCGTTTTAAATGCTGAAAAAAGATGCTCTTTTGATCCTGCAAACATGGTGGCGTCCCTCATGCTGGAGGGACCGAATGCTTGAAACTTATTTCAGCTTATTTTCAGCCAATCAGAATTGAGTATTTAAAATCTCAGTGAAATCGCGAAAATCTGAAAGTAAGCAAATAAAACCAAGCCATTACTGTTAATATTGACCGATTATATAATAAGCAGATGAATGAGATTAGTGCCGGATCGGAGACGGATTGGAATATTTTTTTTATTTCTAGAATACCGATTTACGAAAAATGGATAAAAAAAACTAAATTTATCATACTTGCACCGATTATATCTGCATCTAGCAAATTTATTATGTTATCATTTTCGGTTAATTTTGACTTCGATTTTGTGAGAAAGGCATTTAGCCAATAGGAACTGTTAGCGATTTAGATTGGTTGAAATTTTTCCAGCATTCGGTCCCTCCAGCATGAGAACCCTCCCCTGCTAACATATTCAACCCATACAAAACTCGGTATAATTGTCAAAAAATTGACACTGCTGAAAACCTCAGTACATTGCAGAATCAATCGAATGAACCCAAGAGTTTCAAACTAAGATTATTTGTCTGCAAAATAGTTCTCGTGGAAATTGCAAAACCAATCGGATCATTTCAACGTCGACTACCAAATTCCAGAAAGCAAAAAAATACAGACAACTTATTAGTTTTTAATGAAAAGTAATGACAAAAACGATCATTGAACAACAGCTTGAGTACGAGACCAAAGCATCGTGTACCAGACTCCGGAAATATATTTTGGTTGTGGTTTTTTCAAGTTGAATTTTAATGGATGGTACGACAACATCTGATGTTAGACAATAAATTGAGTAAGAGGATCCCGGCAGCGAAAACATCAGTATAAATGGGTAATCATTCGATCAGCGTTAGTGACGAAAAACATCAGTTCAATCTACAATTTAAAACCATGCCCCTAATGTAAGAGAACCAGTGAAGCCTCGAGTAAAATAACATTACGTCTAGTGAAAAAAAAAACATTTTCCATCAAAGCCTGGCAATCAACAAACAAAGAAACACCGGATGCTTAAAAAAATCATCCTAATTTTGTTCAATTAAACGCAGGATCTAATTCACAAATGCCAGTTTTTTTGTGCTTCCGATACTCTTTTGATCATTGAATACCAGACTGTGAATTAGATATTTCGTTCTAATTGATCAAAAAAAGACGATTTGTAATTCGAGCAAACATATTCAACTTATAAAAAACTAAATTAACATATCCTTAATAAAGTCAAAAACTTCACTTTATTCGAAAATCAAGCAATTGAAATCAAGAGACCCAAAATAGTAAAATTTTTGTTAAGCTTAGCTTAACTGGAGATTAGAAACAGAATCGGACCATTCACAAATCGGGTACCTAAATCCACAAAGGGAAATCAACCCAGAATCGAAAATCAGCTGTTGTTTCATGGCTGACAAAATCTTTTGATATACAACCGATTGAGTCAAACAACCCAGGCAGCTTAAGCAAAAATATCATTGGTTAATCATATATTCAGTGACAGTGACAAAAAAACAACAGTTTACAATTCATAAACCATGTCTATTAGATAAAACAACCAGTGAAACCTCGCGTAAAATATCAATCACACGTCTTGTAAAAAAAATCTCCATTTCAAGTCTGGTATTCACAGGACACCGGAGTATCGGAAGAACAAAAAAGCTGGCTTTTGTGAATTAGATCCTTCGTTTTGACTAATCAAAATCAAGATGATTTGTAAATCGAGCAAACACAATCAACTTATTCAAAAAGCGGTGTAAAAAACCCTTGATCGTGACAAAGCCTCAGTTCATTGCAGAAGCAAGCAAATGAATTCGAGAGCCCCAAAAGCATAGCTTGAGTGGAAACTAAAAAAAGAGGACACTTTGCAAATCGAGTACCAGAATCCAGAAAACAAAAACAAAAACAAAATGATAACTTAGCTTTATTTTATGCTGGTACGATAAATTTTTTGTTGAACAGAATGAGTTTTATTATCCAGGCATCCAAAACATCAGAAAAAATGTGTAGTCATTTGATCAGTGGTAGTGACGAAAAACATCAATTTAATTTAAAATTCAAAAGCCATGCCAAAAAGTAAAAAAATCAGGCAACCTCGAAATAAAAATGTTTAAAAATTAAATAAGGGAACTTTCCATTAAAAAATGTTGTAATTAACGAACAAAGGAACATCTCAAGCAAAAAAAACAGAACTCAGACAATAAGATATTTTGTTTTAATTAATAAAAACCAAAATGATTTTTAAGTCGACCAAACATATCAAGTTTAACAAAACTCAGTTAAGAAATCCTTGATAGTGACAAAACCTCAGTTCATTGCAGAATCTGACTATAAAAATCAAGAGCCCCAAAAAGGTTTATTTTTGTAAAGCATACTTGAGTGGAAATTAAAAAAGGGACACTTTGCAAATCGAGTACCAGAATTCAGTAAACAAAAACGAAACCAAAATGAAAACTTAGCTTGATTTTATCCTGGTACGACAAATTTTTTGCTGAATAGAATGAGTGTTTTATTATCCAGGCATCCAAAACATCAGAAAAAAAAGTAAAATCATTTAATCAGAGGTAGTGACGAAAAACATCAATTTAATTTAAAATTCAAAAGCCAAGCCAAAAAATCAGGCAACCTCGAAACAAATATTGTTTAGAAATTAGATAAGGAAAATGTCCCTTAAAATCTTGTAATTAACAAATAAAGAAACAACGAAGCAAAATAAAACAGAACTTAGAGAATAAGATACTTTGTTTTGATTAATCAAAACCAAGATGATTTGTAAGTCGAGCGAACACATTCAACTTATTCAAAAGTCAGTTAAAAAAATAATTGATAATGACAAAACCTCAGTTCATTGCAGAATCAAGCAATTGAAATCAAGAGACCCAAAATAGCAAAAAAAATTTGTTAAGCTTAGCTTAAGTGGAGATTAGGAACAGAATCGGACCATTCACAAATCGAGTACCTAAATTCGCAAAGGAAATGAACCTAGTATCGAAAATCAGCTGTTGTTTCATGACTGAAAAAATCTTTAGAATATACAACCGATTGAGTCAAAAATCCCAGGCAGCTAAAACGAAAATATCATTGAGTAATCATATATTCAGTGACAGTGACAAAAAAACAACAGTTTACAATTCATAAACCATGTCTATTAGATAAAACAACCAGTGAAACCTCGCGTAAAATATCAATCACACGTCTTGTAAAAAAAATCTCCATTTCAAGTCTGGTATTCACAGGACACCGGAGTATCGGAAGAACAAAAAAGCTGGCTTTTGTGAATTAGATCCTTCGTTTTAACTAATCAAAATCAAGATGATTTGTAAGTCGAATAAACAATCAAATTATTCAAAAAGCAGTTTAAAAAATCCTTGATCGTGACAAAGCCTCAGTTCAATGCAGAGTCAAGCAAAAGATGAGAGCTCCAAGAAAGGATCACTTTTGTTAAGCATAGCTTGAGTGGAAACTAAAAAATGGACGTTTTGCAAATCGAGTACCAGAATCCAGAAAACAAAAACGAAACCAAAATGAAAACTCAGCTTAATTTACGCTGCTACGACAAATTTTTTGTTGAACAGAATGAGTTTTATTATCCAGGCATCAAAAACATCAGAAAAAAAGTGTAATCATTTAATCAGTGGTAGTGACGAAAAACATCAATTAATTTAAAATTCAAAAGCCATGCCCAAGAGTAGAAGAAAAAAAAATCAGGCAGACTCGAAATAAATATTGTTTTAAAATTAAATAAGGAAATATTCCATTCAAATCTTGTAATTAATGAACAAAGGAACATCTGAAGCAAAATAAAAACAGAACTCAGACAATAAGATATTTCGTTTTATTCAATAAAAACCGAGATGACTTGTAAGTCGAGCAAACACATCAACTTCAACAAAACTCAGTTAAAAAATCCTTGATAAGGACAAAACCTCAGTTCATTGCAGAATCTGGCTAAATCATTCAAGAGCCCCAAAAAGGCTTATTTTTGTTAACCATAGCTTGAGGGGAAACTAGAACAAGAATCGGATACTTTGCAAATCGAGTACCAGAATCCAGAAAACAAAAACGAAACACAACCAACACTGAGCTGAATTTAATGGCCGGTACGACAGAAACTTTTGTTGAAGCGAATTAGTAATATGATCCATGCATCAAAACCATTAGAATTAAAGGGTAATCACATATTCAGTGGTAGTGACGAAAAACATCAGCTAAATTTACAAATAACAAGCCAAGCCTATCAGTAAAAAAACAGTGCTCCTCGAAAGAAATATCGTTTAAAAATTAAGTATAGAGTTTTTCCATCGAAATCTTGTAACTAACAAACAAAGGAACACCTGAAGCAAAAAAAACGAAATCGCAGAATAAGATAATTCGTTTTAATTAATCAAAACCAACTTGATTTGTAAGTCGAGCAAACACATCAACTTATACAAAACTCAGTTAAAAAATCCTTGATAGTGACAAAACCTAAGTTCATTGCAGAGTCGGGCCAAATATTTCAAGAGCGCCAAGTTAGGATTATTTTTTTAAGCATAGCTTGAGTGGAAACTAGAAAAAGAATCGGACACTTTGCAAATCGAGTACCAGAGTCCA